CAGTGGCAAAATTTTTGTTGTCTGTCTTGGTTTCAAAAATTTCCTACAGTAATGGTTGAACTTTAAAGTCGTTTAACTTGAGAACTTTGGTTTTGAGAATTGTTTTTGGATGACTGAGAGTCTCGCTGCAGCTATCGAGAGAATTGGTCTTTGATGTCTTTTTACAGTTCCATTAGATTAAGTTTCGACGCTGGACCACCAGGACAGTTGAAAAACCGGTCCGGTAATACCAAAAACTCCTAGTTCTGTATCCATATACCCTCATGTATCGGCGAAGCGCTTTGAGCCTATCAATCAATTGTTGAGGCGATTACTTCTGATTCTAGGGTCGTAGATTAAATAACAGTAGGAAGCATTATTTTTCAAAATCGTAATAAATACCAATCACATCATCTTTGAAGTCAGAATGATTCTAAGAAAGTTCTAAACTTTCATTCAGTTGTCCGAAATAATATAATTTTTCGAAAGATTCCACCAGAATATAAAAAATGCTTGGTTAATATACATAAATCTACAGTTTAATGATCCAAGGTCTTTTTACATGAAGAATCTTAGAAACACTCTAATGTTGCAAGTCATACAAATACTTGTAGTACAATATATTCTATGGATATAGATATAAGTAGTAACTTGGTAAATATTATTTTCACTTCTTCAAAATCACTAAGCTCGGTCGCTTTAGCCAATACAAACAAGCAAACTTCTGTTGTTTATTGATTTTATTTTAACATTAGAAATATATATAAGTTCATATACATAAGTATCCTGTATGAGTGTATTAGGGACCCAAGGGGACCAAACTGTAGGAAAGCTACTTACATATGAACCAATTTTAGAGCTTGACGTGGATTGAGAAATCAAATTTCTTCTCTCTATTTCAACGAGTTGCGTTAGTTATAAAATAAAATTTTTACAGAATCATTTTCCGATTAAAAATGATCCGTAGATATGAAAAAAAAAAAATTCTTTCAAAACTTAAATTTCAGTCGGAAAATCGGCATGATTCTCAACTGCTTTAGCATGAAGCAGACATTTGAGGCTGGCTGATCTAACTGAAATAACGGCAATAAAGAAGAAGACTGCTTGGTATGAACTGACACTTTTAGCTTTCATAGCTTTCATTAAAATAATCCAGTCCCCGAAACTGATATTTAAAAAAAGAAGTTTTGTTGGTGAGAACAACTATAGGTTCTAAGCTTTGTTCTTATTCGTTCTAAAAGATTTACGTAGCTTGCTAATCGCCTATGCCCTTTCAAAATAGTAGTATTGAAGACCAAGAAAACGAGAGTTCCTTAGCTTTGAGTTTTAGGCAGCTTAAATGGCATTAATCAAAGAAACTGCTGCATAGAATACAATGTGTTTTATATTTCATTTCAAAATTGTTGAAATTCAACTTATGCACTTTTCAAAATGGTGCTATTTCAATGGCTCTTCGTAGCATAAAGTGTATTTCGAAATTCAACTGCTAACCGATGAACGCCAAACAAAAAGTAAAGTTTAATATATAAATATGTATTGTACATAAGTACATATTGTGTGTATATTCATAATATGAAACCAACAACAAACAAAGAAAATAGAAAACAACAATAAAGTTGAGCTGAAATTACGACAAGCAACAACCACTGTACCATATGTAAGTACGACGACGACGACGACGAGAAGGAAACCAAGAAACTTCGCACTAGCAACATTTGTGCCGCAACGTCGTGCTCTGAACCAAACCGAGCCACATTACAACGACCAGCCAGCAATATGAACCAAGCTGACTTGAGTTGCAGCTGAGTTGAATGGTGTGCACCGTCGTTAGCTGGCTGACTGACTCGATGTCTGTGCTTGCTTAACTGACTGAGCAAGCAATGTAGGAACGAGCTGAAACTATAAGGGTGTGGTATGGACACCCCAGCGGGGTGAGCGCGGCGGCGGGTGCTACGCGTCGTTGAAGGTGAAGCATGGCAACGACAGGGCCGACCAAAAGCCCAAGCAGAAAATGAATGCATATATTCACAGATATAAATATAGGTGAGCATGTGTATATATGTATGTATATGGGATTGCACAAAACAACCAACAGAAATGTGTAATAAAAGCAGCTATAGCAGCAATGTTGAATTAATGACAGCAAAAAACAACAACAACAGCAACAACGGCAATAGTAAATATCAACACAGCATTTATAGTACACCAGCAAACGAGCGAGCGAGCGAATGTTTGTAGAACCAAAAATATATAAGCACTATGGGCATCGTCAAGTGATTACCGAATAAATCGATTCCAATTCGAAACGCTATATGAACTAGCGAGGTCGAATCTGGTACCTATTGGTATTAAGCTATTGATTATTGATTGCACCTACGATTCACCTATTGGTTATACATGGTAATTTCGTACTTTACTATCTCATCTAACAAGCTTTCCCAACTAAGTAAGCTCTGGATCTACGATTCTTCTTCAAATAATACATCGTCAACTGATTAACGAGGAAATATATTCGTATAATCGAGTGGCACACATTCGCACACATTTTACTCCACTTCGGGGGCTATACGAGTTAAAGAGCTCTTTAGATCGAACCTGGTACCCCAGTTAGTAATTGGATTCCATTTCCGATCTCTGGAGTGACAATTTCACACTCAATCTTCTCGCATCATTAACTCCTTAAGTAAGTTGCGAAGCCTATGACTAAACTAAACAATACTCTGTGGACGATAACTAACTTTATAAATAGAAAGGTGGTTACAAACTTCAAAAGCTACCGATATTCAACTAAAGTGGAGTCGTTTTCAAAAGCCTTTAGCCAGCGTGAAAATTTGGAAATAAAAGATAAGTTTTTGAAGCGATTTATAAAGGCGTCGGTGCACGAATACGAAAAATCTATAGAACCAATCTAAAACTGAATTCTTAAGATGAGATTTTTAGTTCAAAATTGGATACTTTGACCGATGGTGACCGTCATAGTCAAAGTTAATTAAAAATAAAAATTTTCCTTTGGGTGGATCTTGAGTACCCATTATAGTTTCAGCCAAATTAAAAAACAAGCATTTTTCAGATCTGGTCTAACACATAAGAGTTATTTCCGTATACAAAAGAGCTGACTACAAATTTATGAAAAGAATAAGATTAGGATGAAATGCACGGCAGAGCAACAATAAAATACAATTGAAACAAATTATTGTCGGTTTCGATGGCCGGTTTTACATAGTCGGAAAGGACCTGAATTTGTATTCGTTTATGAAACATAAAATCGACAACTTATTAAATAAATATTTTTGGAAGGTTTTACGTCACTATAGCCACAATACCCTTCAATCTATTATTATTATTTTATAACAGAATCCAATTTGGCTATCAAGCTTCTTGCAACGGTTTTGTTCTCATTACGACTCATTTAAATGAGGTCACCAATATAACCCGAATTCATCATTGATGATCCCACTGTTTCAGTGCAACACAACATCAACGAAGCGTACGTACTGGCACTTGAGAGCTTACAGTTTTGTTCAGTCCAGTCCAATTCGGTCCACACCACTCATCCCGCTGCAGTGGCCATCAAGCTAGCAAGCAATCAGCCATTCGTGTGCGCCAGCCATTCCGGCCAGTTCAACACTCAGCAAGACTGGCAGGCTAGCGGGCAGGCAGGCAGGCAATCAGCCAAGCAGCACCACAAACTGCCAGCAGCCGGCAGTAAAGGCGCATTAAAGTTATAGCAGTAAAGTTGAAATTCTGTTTTTTGTTTTGGTTATTTATGTTTTTTTTATTTTTATTTTAGGCAAGCAAAATAAAAGAGAACTTGCTCAAGGAGTTTTACAGTGTTCACAGTTCGACTAATTTATGAGTTAGGAGTTATCAGATGAACTCCGGAGAGGTTGGTGTTGAGATATATAGATGTATGGATACAGGTTTACTGAATTTATTATGGAATAATTTTCCAAATGTTGTAATATTGCTTGACTTATAGTTTCCTCTGAGGTTGAAATATGATTAAAAATGCTCAATATTGCAAGAACACCTCAAAGAAATAAAAAAGTGTTTATCATTAATTCTGCATCCTAAATATGCTAGCAGTTTTGACAAGGGATAAATGTGAATATTGTTTTTTTTCAAGATTTGACTTCTCAAATAACCGACGAAAAATCGGACTTTCTTTGTTGATAAATCTTCTGATATGTTTCTATGAATTGAAAAAGTAAAGCTGGAAGCCAAAAAGCAATTCGATTTTTAATTTATCGACTTAGATATTATATAACAATTTAAATTAGGAAGCAATTCGAACATGAGTTCGGTTGGACTTCGTTCTTGCAGATTTACATACATACTTTATATAAATGCCGTATCATATAAAGGGAAATATCCAGGTTCTGAGATCGAGCTGCCCAAATCTTTCTAGAGAACAGTATCGCCCTCAATTTGTTCAATCCACCTTAACGTAAAGCCATAACGAGGGTCCAAATATCATACTAAATACTCGTTATAAACTCCACACTACACTTATAATTGTGAATAAACGAGCTGATAGCTTCGAACACTGATAGCTTTGGAACACATATTTTTGGATCGGTAAAATTCTTGGGCCGAAATTTATGTAGTGAAGATAAACAATGGAATGGTTAAAGGAACGTATAGAACTAAAGGGCGTTATGTCGCCAACATCGAAATTTTAGGACGATTAATGACATAATATTCTAGAGCATAACTTTTTTACCAAACTCTGTATGTTCAGGTTGAATGACATTTCTTTATGGCATTTTAGTCTCCCAAAGCTTATCACATTATCTGCTTTTCCGTAAATGGGTGTATTCGTCCCACTGTGTCGCTACAGCAAAGCGCAAATGTCAAGACGAATAAGAACCGTAAAGTGAGTTGATTGTCAGAAACTACACATACATACATATGTATATGTATATGTGTAAATGTAGTGTGCGAATAAAGGCAAGAACTCATGAAAGAACGGACGTCAGAACATACTAGTCAGCTCACTGCTTGGTCTGAAATATTCCCCATTTTATGTGATAAAGGAAATACCATTCTGCTATACTGATTGCTACGAAAATACATTTTATAGAGCCAGCCAGTCAGCACACTGGCACCAGTAACAACAGCCAAACCAACAGCAGCAACAACAGCAAAAGCGCAATAGCAACGTCGACGATGACTAAAGCGGATGATGGTGCCCAGTGTAAGAGCACGAAGCTGCTATTGTCTCAATGCCAACGTATTGGTGTCGGTGCGCTGCAGTCAAAGTAAAATTTGAACTAAGCATGGCACCGACCAGCTCGACATGGAAACGCCAAGGCACACTTCTCAGGCGAATGTGCTGACTGACAGACTGGCTGGTCTGTTGGCTGGTTGACTGGATGGAGCAGCTGTGCGAATGGGTCGCATCATACGGTGTCGGCGTTGAAGTGCTCGAGAGGTGTCGGTGTGGCAGGCGAAGTGAAGCATTTTGGTATAGAATTTTGTTTTCCTTACATTATTCTATTTTCAGTGGATTAAATGTTGATATTGGTAGTCGGACGGTCGTCGGTTGTTTTGTTAGTCGCTGGTGGTGTTGCTGTTGGTGGGGTCGGTTTGCAACACTTATGGTGCAGTAGAATATTAAGTTGTGTGGTGTAATGGGATGGTGTGGCTGAGGCGCTGTTGTAACTCAAGGAAATATTATAGACAGTGAGATTTTTAGCCACTCAATGCCAAATAAATAAATATTATATATTATTATAAGTAATTGGCTTATAAAACATATATAAGTACATATAAGTATGTCATAGCATTGGTCTCCAAAGCTGAGCCTAGGGTACAAAAGTAAAAAATTACAGTATATTTCCTACTTAAAGATCTCTTGAACATACTATGTACCACCATGTATGGCTATACCAAAAGATGGACCCAGTTAGACCTCCTTGGTCATATGCAATTGCATTAAATGATTTCCAGCTAAAATTTCGGTAGCTTCAGAAGATCCCGAGTAAAACCAAACTCTCTTTACAGGAGATAACATTAAGATAACAAAATTTACTCGAAAATTTATCAACACAAACTGAAAATCATCCTCGTCCTCAAGAGCCAACATTTACTAATGACCTCGTTGTACAACCTGATTAAAAGCTTCGTTCCAGCTCCTTTTCTGAAATAATTCCAAGGTACTTTACTGTAGTTGCAAGCCGGTTCGAACTGTTATGATTACACAGTTCCTGTCGACACACTTATTAAGAGGTCTATGTACCAAAATATTTCTGAAATTTAACGAAATTTTCCGCTTATTCGACTACTGTTTCATAATACTGATTCTTCTTAGTCCGCTTGTACACGGCTACCCACTTTTGTTTATATGTAGTGGTATTTGCGTGGCATCTTCCCACCGTCACCAACACTAGAGTGCTGGTATTACCCTCAGTCGAACTAGAGTTTTAGTTGTCGGTAAAGAAAACTGCACTGTATTTTACGCCAAAGCTGTACAAAAAAGAATAAAAGGCAAAATAGAAATTTCCATCGATCGAAAGAAGGTAGAAGTGCTCCGTTGCCGCGTTGTTCAGTTGCTTGGTAGCTATTTGCTTTGCCTGACAACCAGCGCCAATTCGAGCAACCGACAGACAGAAAGACTGACGGAACTGACTTAACTGACTGACTCGCTGCTAGCACTTGGCAACTATTCAAAGTTGTTGGTTCTGTTGGTACACTTCGCCTGCTTGGCCGTGTCTTCGTTGCCATTTCTCGCCAGCGCTATGGAAGAAACCTCGGAGTCACAGCAATGGCGGCAGTGTTGGTTCCATATCTGACACGAAAATTCCACTTTGGAATGAGAAAACACCAACTAGCAAGTACTGCAACAGCAATACCAACTATAATAATAACAACAACAACAGCAACAAATGCCATTACGTCCACGACGTAATTTAGAATTCTGATGTTCACATGAAGCTAGCACGGTCCGGTCACGGGAAAGCACAAGTAGCAGTAGCAGGAAAAGCAACAAAACAGAGACATTAGCGAAGAACCAGCTCCACTCGTCGTAGCGGCAACGAAACCAGAGCTGGCACCGACACTGGCACTAGCACCGATTCTAGCGCACAATCTCGTAATGCCAGTGCCTGAATAGCAAAAACAAAAATGAGAGAAAAAAGAAGGTATGCAACAACAATGGCTACAATTGTTGTGGTGTTCCCTTAGCTTTTTCCGTTCTTATTTTCATGATTTCAAATAATTTTCTTTCATTTTCCTTGTTGTCCGTGCGTCGGTCTTTTTCATTTCGTTGATGGGATTTTATTAAAATCCACCGACAACCGAACGAACCAAGCAGCCAACGCTTACATACATATGCGCTCATAAATATTGCATGTACCATATATATATATAAGTATGTGTGTTGTCGTGCAACGACATCTCGCCGAACAATTTAAGTTTGAATGAATGAATAGCTTGCGCATAGTAAGTGAAGTGAGTGTGCGACATTGCGGCCAAACAAAGTATTTAATAATAAAAAGTAAAGCAATGCATTGAAATTCAAATACAATTCGATTTATGGTTGTTTTTGTTTCTCTTTTAGGGGATTTGAACGATTTGCTGATAAGGTGGCATTGACAAGATCGCAAGGTCGTTCATTGAGCAGCTGGTAGGCGTGATTTGTGTTGGGAAGAGGGTGGGAGGGAGAGCAAGAAATAAAGGGGAAGAGAGCCAAAAAAAAAGCGAGAGAGAGAGGTAAACGTGGTAATCGAGCACGTGGCAGGGAAAATGACATGTACATGCACACACATTTATATATTTATAATAGCAGACCATTTACCGTTTTAATATCAACAGGAATCGTTTAACAGCATGCCGCTGCAACTAAAGAAATGTAAATTTAACAGGCTAGTGGGAAAAATTTTATATCACATGAGACATGACATCAACAGAGAGATTTGAGAGCACTACAATTACATGAGAGCAGTGAAAATGTTTTAGAAGAGTTATTATTTAAAAAGGATTAATATTCCCAACCTAGCGCTTGATTCTGTAATAAAAAATCTGCACTTATATATTTTGTACCAAAGCCTTTTTCACTTGATAGACTTGATAGACCATAGATTGATTAACTATTATTGCTTACAGCTCTTGAAATTCCACATTTGTTGAAGAACACATGGATGGAAGTATTATTGGATGAAAATGGTGGGTTTAGTTTTCAGAATATTATACTTATATCAAGTGTTGAATTCGTTTGAATAAATTTTTAAAGTACGTACTGTAGTTTCATTTTTTAATTCTTATCAAGTTTTTTATACTTAACATTTGTATAAGTTATGTGGGGCCTAGGAGAGTTTTTGACCCGATTTTATGCGGTTGTAATATTACAACATATCATTAACAGAAATAGGGGCCCTCTTTCATTAAGAAAACGCACAGATTGATCAATATACAAAGTATAAAGTCAAGCGGATGTTAGAAAACCTTATATCAGATGGGGACTAGGCGAAGTATTGTCCTGATTTTATCCATTTTAGGCATGATCATACACTGTTGTTAGAGTAAGATAATATCTGAATTTCATTAAGATGTCTTACATACCGACCGATTGATGTGGTAGAAAATCAACCGGAAGATACGAAAATATTTATACAAAGTATATGGGAGCTAAGGAAAGTATTGACCCTATTTTACCCATTTTTGGTCCCAGAGCATGCTATCATCACAAAAATATTAACCCTTAATTTCAATACTAGACCTCACAGATTGACGGATATATTCGGTAAAAAACCAGCCATACGCAGTGGGGTCCACATATTTGGTGTCTGGGCCCTTAAAAATGTATAGTCCGATTGCGATCATTTTTGGGCGTGAGATGAAATGATTAGATCAAAAATGCAAATTCAAACCAGTCAGCATCAAATTATATTTATACAGGGAAAACACTCTCTTTCATTCTCAAAAATACTACTTGTCATATGATCAACAATAAACGGCCGAGTTAGGAATTTTAATTGACCAAAACTACCAATAAGAAAGCTTCTATGTCGGAAGATACTACTATTTTGAGGTTTAGAAGACGTTTTATAGATTTAGTGCTATTGTTCTTTGAATGATGTTTTTTGTTCACAAGATTAGAAAATTTTGTAGAACATTTTCCTAACGGTACCTTAAGGATATTAAGAATACTACTTTAAAGCTTATTCGTGTAAACATGTAAGGCCTTCTCTACTCAAAGTTATGGTTTATATGTGTGTACTTAACTTAACTTAACTTAACTCGACCACATAGCTATTTGTGAAAAGGTTTTTGGTTCATATGTAAATGTTAGCAACAATAGGGTAAAAACTGACTTTGAAGTATTCATGTGAAGGATTTTTGAAATTTTTTGAACTGATCACTAAAACATCAAAATTTTGGTTTTAACAGCTGCATACAACAACAATCGGCTAAATTTCCACTTTTGTAATATTTTTTTTGAATATTAAAAGGTGTGTCCCAACAACTCACGGTATGATCACCGAGTATGAACGAAATATGTATATGCATATTATATATCGGTTATCCAATAGCTCGATGTACTGAGATGCGTTTAAAACTCAAAAATAACCCATATATAGATGGATTGTAATCCATGGGTCTTTAAACTTTTATCTAATCTAACATTTCTAGGTTAAAAGCAAGAGGCATATCCAGAACTGTCTAAGAGACTTGGCCAACATTATTCACTATTGATTTTATTCTTTTTTACATTGTACGATCTTTATGACAATCAAGATTCTGGCAAATTGCGAAACCGATGGAACAGCATATGCAACATCATAAAAACGGAATAAACACACTTACACAACCATATCGCTTATTGCACTTGTCACCATTTGTAAGTTGAAACCAGTCATGCAGGAACCGGAAATAAACGCCAACTCTAACGTCATTATCATGAGTTGAGTTAATAATCATTCACAGCAACAGATAGGGTAAGACACAACATCACAACAACACATACAAAATATGCAATGGCTGTGTGCGTATAGATAAATGGCTTCAGCGTTTCGCGCTAAAAATTCTAATTCGCAATTCGCTTCATATATGTGTGTATATGTGTGTTTAAGAAGTTGTAGTTTTACTAAAGTGGATTTGACTTGACTTGCTTGACAAGTTAGCTGGCTGTTCTGCTGACTATGCTGCTTGTTGAAACATTTTAAACGCTATTAATAATCATTTTAAGCTTCGAATATTTGGGCGCAAAATTTTTGTGTTTTCAAAAAATCAAGTCTCAAATTGTTTGTAATAAATAGGCAGGGAACCGATGGACATAAATTTATACTTTCATCGGCATTTAAGTGCCCGAATTCTTTCTCTGCCTCTTTCTTCTAGAGAGACTCTCTCTCTCTTTTTCTAATAGTGAATGAGCGTATATCAACAATGGCGAATTAATGTTTTAATAATGAGAGCACGTCGAAATATAATAAGCCTTTTGAAAAGATCCCTACTTTTTTACATTTTAGCAGTCTAGAATCTTCCTGCGACAAATTTATGTTGAGCTTTCTTTAAACTCAGATCCAAAAAATCTCAGGTATAAGCGCCATCTCTCAAGCTCTTTTCGCCTCCTTACTTTGCAAGTATCTAAGGAGAAGAAATATAAGACTTATAAAAGGCCTAAAAACGTCCACTGAGTAGTGATGAGCCCTCAGCTATTTAGGCGATCGAAAAGCCGCTAATATCGTGGCTAAAATCATCAATTTGCTCGGCATTGGAAGGCAACCTCTCTGGCTGGAACTCCTTTTCACCACAGAAAGATATAAAACCGCAAAATAGCGCATGAGCTGGTTAACACAGAATAAATAATTAATTGAAGCATAGAAGAAGATCAATTCAGTAAGAAGAGCTGAAATTAATTATCCCAGACCTAGACGGGGAAAAATGGCTCTATATTGGAACACACCTCACTGTTTGTAAATGGGTGAATAGTCATTGATATTTATTTATACCGTTATAAAATTTATGATGATAACAAATGTAAAGTCGGATAATATATTCAACTTCATTTCGATGCGTGAAGCTTCCAAATTTTTTTCGGAATGCTACAAGCAAAATTTAGATATTTCGGGAACCAAAAGTTCGTAAAATCTTCTCGTATTCAAAGAACTTACAGATACAGTACAGTTCGTTGGGGATTTTATTGAGAAAAACACAAAGGCTCAGTTTTCGTATGAAATGACAGTAGATAATGTTTTAATAAATGCTGAGACGCCATAAGCGATTTTTTGTGGTTGGAAATTGGATTTTCACTATCTTAATTATTAGTGAAAGATAGATAATTTACTCTTGCCAATAAAAAAAGTCGATTATTGAAAGTACATACAAGTATAATTCAAAATATGAAAATTAAACGTACATATGATTGAGAACATTCTCCGAAAATTTGAAGTTGATCCGGCAAATAATTTCAGAGATATTTTTTAATACGCCTTGCTTTTAGAACTGTTAGCTAACATGAGATTAACTTTTCTCTAGTTTTTTAGTTATTTCTATCGACTTTCAATTAGCTATTTGAAAGCAACGCGGACAAAAGTTCAAAAAGTTAAATCAGTGCTGCATGTTGAACAATTTACTGTTATTAAATTTTATTACAATGGTAAATTTTAAATTTGAAGCGAATTCGCATAGGCAATAGTTTTTTCCTCTTTAACTGCGGCCAATAAATATTTTCAACACAACACCTGAAAGTTGCCAACCTCCAGAAAATATTGCGCAGTATTTTCTTTTTTTTGCAAGCGAATGCATGACAAGCGGAATTAAATATTGAACTGCAAAAAAGTGCAATCACACATAAGTGTTTTTTCCCTCCAGCTGAGTTTTTTGTTAAAGTTTAAATATAATAAAATAAAATACATGAACACGCACGAGTGCGTGAGTGTGTGTGTGTGCGCTATGAACGTAGGTAGCTAAAAAAATTAATGCTGGAAATTCGCAAAAGTCAAAGTGCGCACAACAGAAACGCACACACCACTACATAAAAAGCGCAGCATACACACACACACACACACACACGTATTTTTGAAAAAACACGCGCTATTTGCGCACACATACACAAACAGCTGCAAACAAAACAACAAATAAACAACAATTGTGAGCGATGCGACAGTGAAACTCAACAAAAAGGCGAATGCAATGAAAAAACACTCAGAAAAAAGTACATAGAATGTATATGTACATGTATATATATATTTATATATATATGCGTAGGTATGCGTAAGTATGTATATAAATAAGTGTGTATTCATGTTTGCATGTCTGTATGTTTATATATGAGTATGTATAAATAATTTTGGGTGTGGGTGGACATTGTGCGCAAACACAACGTCAACATATGAAATAAACAGCAGCCATGCGAAGCTTTCAAGCCACAACCAAAGCAGCGCACAGCATGGCACGCAGCAACAATAGTTAGTAAGCGTAGAATTTAGTCATTTGGCGCGGCGCGACCCGATTTCAACACAGCGCTGACAGTGTTGCCATTGTGTCATCAACAGCAGCAAGGCGGTGATGTGCGACACACAACGGTGCATTTTCAGCGAATTCATAAAAAAACATAAAAAATAAACTATATAAATAAGCAATAAGAAGTAAAAAATAAAATAAATAAAAATTAAATTAAATAAAAAACAAGAAAAAAGTTAACCCCGGCTGCACCGAAACTAGAATACCCTTCACAAATAAAAAAGGTTTCTTAGGTTCTCAGCTCTTCACACTGAACATTTATATGTATGTATGTATGTATTTTATAAGATCTCCAACGTTTTTTTGTTGTTGGTGTTACAAACTTCGTGGCAAATTTAATATACCCTGTTCTAGGCATAGATATCAATAAAAATCAATCATGTACTTATTTGTATAAGTATATAAAAAAAAAATACTTAAGGGGTTATATCCACTTGTAAGACAGAAAAAATGCGCATTTTTGTGAATTTTTTTTAAGCGGCACTTTATCTTACGACTTAAAATAAAAATTAACATAAAGAGAATTGAATGTACTTTTAGAATCAGCGACTAAATTTTTAAAAATATTAGATCCCCT